TCAGGCAATTCTCCTGCCTCAGCCTCCTGAGTAGCTGGGATTACAGGCACGCGCCACCATGCCCAGCTAATTTTTTTGTATTTTTAGTAGAGACGGGGTTTCACCATGTTGACCAGGATGGTCTCGATCTCTTGACCTCGTGATCCACCCGCCTCGGCCTCCCAAAGTGCTGGGATTACAGGCTTGAGCCACCGCGCCCGGCCAAGAGTTGGTTTCTTATCCAACAGAAGAAACTAAGCTAAAAATCTATTCAAATACCTTCAACCTACATCCTTATTCTGTGCAGGGAAAATGTATGTGTACTAATATATTTGTTTTATTTCTAAACTTCCAACTATAATAACTGAAAAGAAAAAGTTAAAGCTTGAGTTATGTTCTTAAATGAGATTTCTATACAATTTCCATAATACTACAGAACATGCAGAAAGATGTGGTCACAGAAATGAAAAAATAATGTTACAAATCTGAAAGACTACATTCTCTTTTTCAGGAATAATTTTTTTTTTAAGACGGAATCTTGATCTGTTGCCCAGGCTGGAGTACAGTGGCACAATCTCGGCTCACTGCAACCTCCACCTCCCAGGTTCAAGTGATTCTCATGCCTCAGCCTCCCGAGTAGCTGGGATTACAGGCTTCCGCCACCACACCTGGCTAATTTTTGTATTTTTAGTAGAGATGAGGTTTTGTCATGTTGGCCAGGCTGGTCTCAAACCCCTGAACTCAAGTGATCCATTCAACTCAGCCTCCCAAAGTGCTGGGATTACAGGAGTGAGCCACCATACCAGGCCAAGGAATTCTTTATCCAAAACTCAAAGGGAAAACTTTCATTCAGTAAATTGCATCACAGAGTTCTACTCAGTAAATCAAATAACAATATTTAACAAATAAAATCCTTAAATTAATCTACAAGATTAAATGTTTATAAAGATTTTTTTCTGTCTTGGTCTCCTATACTGCCTGTGCTTAAGATACTTAAAATTATTACATGGTAATACTTAAATAAAATCAAATATTACATAGTTGAATTATTAGAATTAGAAAAATCAATCCATAATAAAGACCTTTAATAAATACTTTCTTTTCCATTAAAGCACTTAACAAAAACAAAGCTGGTTCTGCCTTAACTACCACTCACAATTAGAAAACATAAACTTCCAGAAAGCTTGTCTTAATATTATTTCTAACAGAAGTAACTGTCATTATTTAGGTAAACATTGGGGAAGATGTCATGGATAATCTTAAATCATGGCAAAAACAAAACTAAATCAAAGTGGGTACCAAAAGGAATGTAAACTTACTAGGTAAAAATCACATTCAATATCCAAGAATAAAACTACCACCCTAAGACATTATCCAAAAATAGAAAAATAATGCAAAGATTTTACACCACAAAAACTACGTTAATTATTTATGGAAAACAGTCAATATCTGCTTTTATTTTCTGGATTTTAGCTGAGCTCTTTCAAAAATACTATAAAGGCAAAAAAAACTGAACAGAAATTCAGTCTCTGCTGCAAGTTCCTATCTATCTTCTCTCCTTTACCTAATTTCTCTACTCCCACAACCCAAACTTTTACTTGTTAGAATCTCTACAGCTACAGCATCCCCTAATCCTTGCCTTCCTTGTGGCTTGGTAGGCAGCCAATCATCAGAATGATAGGAGGGAAGACAGGAGAAGATAAGCATATGGGTGAGAAGGAAGAGGGACATTCTCAGGTTATGGTAGGCAAGCTATGGTACTTACTGAATACTACTTAGTGCCAAACAAGAAATGTCTCAAAGGCAGCAGAGGAAAGTAGTTAAGAACACAGGATTGGCCGGGTGCGGTGGCTCAAGCCTGTAATCCCAGCACTTTGGGAGGCCGAGGCGGGTGGATCACGAGGTCAAGAGATCGAGACCATCCTGGTCAACATGGTGAAACCCCGTCTCTACTAAAAATGCAAAAAATTAGCTGGGCATGGTGGCACATGCCTGTAATCCCAGCTACTCAGGAGGCTGAGGCAGGAGAATTGCCTGAACCCAGGAGGCAGAGGTTGTGGTGAGCCGAGATCGCGCCATTGCACTCCAGCCTGGGTAACAAGAGTGAGACTCCGTCTCAAAAAAAAAAACAAAAAAGAACACAGGATTGGCAATGAGACTCCCATGGTTCAAACACGGGCTCTGACACTTACCAGCTGTATAATCTTAAGCAAGTTCTTTATCTCTCTCTGTCTCAGTTTCCTCATTTATAAAATGGGAATACTACTACTATGTATTCCAGTTTGTTACGAAGATTATGTCAGTTGGTACACAGTAAGTGCTGTATGTGTCTGTTAAGTGAATATATAAGGATATGTATATATTTCTTTGACTTTGTAAAATTTTAGTATTTTGCATAAATTACCATTAATTTTATATAGGCAATGTGAAAACCGGGACAGATTAACCAACATACATTGACTACACTTTGATGAAGAACAAAAAATCGTTTTATACCTCTACTTTGGATGCCAAAAACACACATGTAGGAGCCATTAATACAGGATCTATACTTTTCAGAGAATACCTAAAATATGATAAAGCAAAGTTAATTATCATTCATATAGAAAGCATACTGGGAAAAAAAATCAAGATAACTCTATGGCAGACACATGATTCATTTACACTGTGCTAAGGTTCATCCATATTAGATAAGAGTTCAAATAAATAAAATAAAAATAATCCTACCTGGCATAGAATCTCTTGAAATATACCGTAGCAGTGGCAATAACTTGTTGTCTTAATTTAAGATGTTCACCTAATGCTTGGATAACTAAAGGGAAAATAATGATATTTTAAATGTATCTTCTGGGATCATTATAATATTAACATTGAACAGTAACTTCCATGTGGTTATATCATAATTATATTAATTTTTAACAAAGGAAAACACATATGCATGCTCTATATGAGCCACAGTGGTCTAGTACGAGGATTTGTAAATGTGTTAAGAAATATATAGGAATGCATCAACAACAAAATAGAAATTGCCCCACAGCAAAAAATTATTCATGCATTAAGGAAGTTGAAAAAGTATTTCCCCTCTATCTTCCAAATATTTTTAATGCCTTTCATATTATCTTTATAATAAATATAAAAAGAAAATATTAGATGCCTATGAAACTTGTTAATACTACCACTTTTTTTGTTGTTTTGAGACAGATATCATTCTGTTGCCCAGGCTGGAGTGCAGTGGTATGATCTTGGCTCACTTCAATCTCTACCTCCCGGGTTCAAGTGACTCTTGTGCCTCACCATGCCCAGCTAATTTTTGTATTTTTAGTAGAGAGGGGGTTTTACTATGTTGGCCAGGGTGGTCTTGTATCTCCTGGCCTCAAGTGGTCTGTCCACCTCTGACTCCTGAAGTGCTAAGATTACAGGTGTGAGCCACCACACCCAGCTAATACTACCACTTTATACAGTTCACCAAGAAAAAAAAAATCCATAATAAATCCTCAAAACAACAGAGAAATAAGTTTACAAAACAGTGAAATGAAAGTTAAAAAAAATTGTGACAGACTTACTACAAAGCGGAGTAAAGACCTATCCCTAAATCTTCTTCCCTTCAAAACAAAGTTCTAAGATAGAAGTGACCACTATAGGATGTCAATCCAAAGACTCATTTATCTTCAAAGTACTTTGCTTTAGCCAATCTTGAACTGTGTCTAATAATTATTATAAAGTCTTAGGGAGATTAGGTAATACTTTCAAATTGTCTTGAGTGCCTGTGACACGTAAAATTCACACACAAAAAATCTTTATTTGGATCACTAAAAAGAAAGATAAATGAATGTGTTGTAAAAAAAAAAACATGTATAAATAAAAATGTTAGGTATGGACTAAAATAGCTCACAAATTATCACACAAAAACATTTTAATTCAGAGGTAATCAACTATAACATTTCAACCAATTTCTTAAAAAATTTACCATTTGTAAAAAATATTTGTAACTTCCAATATTCTTCTTCCGAGAGAAACTTTAAATCCTTTTGGCGCTCCTTCAACAGATCTTGTTTATCCAAAATCCATTGCAAACTAGAAAAGACATGTCATAGAAAATCAACAAGCAAAGTCAGAGAAAACACTCCGATTGAACAGGTTGTTCATATTGTGAGAAGCACAATGTGCAAAAAGTAACCTTAAAGTCAATTATGTGAATAATATCTCACTAATAAATGTAAATATATACTGAAAAAAATTCTGCTCTAATCTTTTCCTTCTTCCTCCTTAGTCTTTCTGTTACAAGCTTATATTTCATTGATTCTATGACTCTGATATCAAAACATGTCTTACAATCTGTGATGCCTTTGTGTTGTAATTGGCAGCATGTTTTTTTGTTTGTTGGTTTTTGAACAGAGTTTCGCTCTTTTTGCCCAGGCAGGAGTGTGATAGCACGATCACCACTCACCGCAACCTCTGTCTCCTGGGTTCAAGTGATTCTCCTGCCTCAGCCTCCCGAGTAGCTGAGATTACAGGCGTGCACCACCAAGCCCAGCTATTTTTGTATTTTTTAGTAGAGATGGGGTTTCTCTATGTTGGTCAGGCTAGTCTCAAATTCCCAACCTCAGGGTATCCACCCGCCTCAGCCTCCCAGGGATTACAAACGTGAGCCACCATGCCCGGCTTGGCAGCATGTTTATTCTTTCTTAGTGATATAAGATAATGGTAGAATTATTTGGCACCAATTGATGGTGGCTTAGGTTTAAAGTATATAGTTTTTCAGCTGTTCATGAGTAACTATGGCATTTAATTTCCTTATTTTACAAATCTAATTATATTAAAAACTGCCTCAGAATGTGTTACACTGACAGCCTCCTCCTCTTGCCTAGTCAAGTGTACTATTTTTTAACTGGAGATATGAAATTGACATGACTCAAAGAAAAAACTATGCTGAACCTTTGTTTGTCATTGAATATGTATTGGAAATCTTATGTCAAGGAACTTGTTATTCAGCATTCTTTTACATAACTTTATGGATGGATCATTTAGCCAATCTCTACTGATGGAAATATAGGTTATCATTTTTTCTCTGTTACAAATAATATTTTAATGAATATCTTTGTAATTTTCCTTGCACATTTGATTAATAATATATTTGAAATAACTTCCCAGAAGTAGGATTAATGGGTCGGTGTTGCTGGTAACTTATTGATACACATTGTCAGTTTACCCCCCAAAAACATTATACTGATTTCCACTTCTATTAACAGTTCATGAGTGAATCCTAAAATATTTAATCCTATGGGTTACTGCCACTTTTAAATACTTTATAACTTAAAGGCAAAGTAGTATATCACTGTTTCTTTCCCCTGTAGTTTACTTTTGAGGTTAAACATCTTTTCCATATCTTCACTGGTCAAATGCAGTTCTTCTTTTATACAATGTTAATTCTAATATGACCATTTTTCTAATGTGATTACTTATTTTTTTAATGATTAAGAGTCTTCTGATATAAAATTTGTATAGTATGGATAAGTCATTTGCTTGTCAAATAAATGCAAAATTTCTCCCAAGTTTAAATATCTCTCAGTATTTAATTATTTGTAATAAAGAAAGCTGAATTACTTACTTAAATCTACCTATCTTTTACTTTCATGTTTGTCAGGCATAGAAAGTCCTTGCCTGATTCAAAAATGATAAAAAACTATTCACTCATGTTTTCTAATACCCTTAAGGGCTTTTTTCCTTCAATTTATATGATCCATCTGGAATTTTGGTACACAGTATAAAGTAAGGATCCAGCTAAACTTTTTGTCAAATGCTTATCCAAATGTGCTAAGGTATTTCCTAATTTATAGTTCTATCATTATATATAATTTCCTATTTTTGTTTTTCTTGTTCATATGCTGTGCTATTTTAAAACACAGAAAATTAAGTAAGTAATTGCTGGTATGAAAAATACTCCCTTGCTACTATTCTTCTGAAAATTTCTGACTATCCTATTGCAATTGTTATTCTGAGACCTAAACTTTAGAAGCATTATGTCAAGTCCTAACAAAGAATATCTATTCAAATTTTGTGACTGAATTTATATTTAAAGATCAACATAGGGAGAAATGACATCTTAACGAGAATTCAAACTCTATTAAAATCTCCACGTGCCACAATGGACTTTTAAAGTTTTCTTCCTACAGCTTCCATATATTTCTTTATATTTTTCCCTTTGTATTTTATATTTTCTGTTGCTAATGTAAATTATACTTTCCTATCATTCTTTTTTTTTTTTTTTTTTAACCAAGTCCCAATCGTTGATAGACCAGGACCTATCATTCATTTTAAAAAAGCTTTTATTTTTGCATTTTGTAACTGGTCACCTTATTAAACATTTATTATTTTGAATAACTTTTCAATTAACTGAGTTTTCTCATAAATTTTATTTCCACATACTGATAATTTTGTCATTCTTTCTATATCTCATTTGTATCAATTGTATTGACTAGTATATTGGAAAAATCTTAAATAGGCACCCTAATTATCCCAATGTTTCACCACTGCTGATGCTTTCACATGTTTTTCAAGTTAAGGAAGCATCCTATTTCTGTTTTAGTAAGAGCTTTAGTCAAGGATAAATGTTGAACTCTATTAGTTTTTTAATGCCTTCACTGTTTAATAGATTTCTTAATACTGACTATATTTCTATAATAAAATCCACTGTCATGTTTTATAATTTCAATGTAACACTAGACTGCATTTGGTAATAATTCATTTACAATGTTGACATCAATATTAAAAAGTGAAACTGTTTTTAGTGTTCCCTTTGCTAGATTTTTCTCTAAGTGTTTTCATGGCTTCATAAAGAGGATTAGAAAGCCTTTCTTCTTTCTGTATGAAATGGAACAATTTCAAAAGGAGAGTCTCCTGAAAGATGGAAAGTATTTACCCATGAAATAAGGCATAGATCTTGGGTAATATTCTTAACTTGCTTTGGCTTTCAAATTTAAAGTCCTGATGATAACCCAGAAGTACCCCTGGGTTTATTTACTTTTCTCTACTAAAAATAAAAAAAATTAGCTGGGGGTGGTGGCAGGAGCCTGTAGTCCCAGCTACTCAGGAGGCTGAGGCAGGAGAATCGCTAAAACCTGGGAGGTGGAGGTTGCAGTGAGATGAGACTGCACCACTGCACTCCAGCCTGGGAGACAGAGTGAAACTCCGTCTCAAAAAAAATTTTTTTTTCCTTTTAATAGGTTAGCATCAGTGTTATCTATTTTAAGTCCTTCTTTCTGTTTCTTTAGGTTTATTTCATGTTTCCTTTTTAATATTCTTAAATAGAATATTTCTATTATCTCTCAGTTATTCAGGATATTGATTTTCTAATATATTCAGCTTTGGTTACATTCCATATATAATATTATGATGTTATTTTCTAGATATTAAGTAACTCTATTTTCAGTTTCCTTTTTCACACAATAAAGTATTCACAGTTAGTTTTTAATTTTGTTACCTGTTCATTAATGCATTCAATCAACCAGCAAAGACTTAGTGCTCTTCTAGCTCATTTTGGTCAAACTGTGTTTTGTTCTACTTCAACTACATTGTGATTTGCTAATTAATTTTACCTCGAGTCATTTTATGTTTTTAAACAGGTAAATTTCACAAATATTTTAAGAGTTTTCCTCACAGAACTTTGTATGGAGGATAAACTAAAAAGATTTATAAATACTGCATTTCATCAAATTTAAGATTACATCTAGAATTCATCATTATTTCATATGCTATAAAAGAAATTGCCATGCTGATTTTAAAGATGTTAAAGTGTGAAAATGTGCATTTCAAAAACACGAAACACAGTGTATTTAACGTCAAGTGCCTTCTTTCACCAAATTCACCTAAGACAATGGCCTTTCATAATCTTTTCATTTGTTTTTCCAGAATTGTCTTGTTTTTCATACTTGTTACCTTTTCTAGATGAGGAACTCCATGACTGCTCAAGGGATTTGAGCAAGGCAAAGTGGTCCCTTCCTTTAGGACTATTTGAATTGGGAGAAAACAGCTTTAAAGAAGTATACTTAACTTTATAATAATTTTATATTTGAAAAGTGAAAAAAGTTTTTACAATGCTACGAATAAATGAAAGCACAATGAGAACACTTATTGAAAAAAGGCAGGATCTTTTTTTAAGTTGAAAAACTGACAAATCAACGTCAGCTACTTGTCAATTCTCTCAGCTTCTTCCTTAGTTTATCAGAATATCTCTTCTCCACTACCTAAACAATTTTTTCAGGAGCTCTAACTCCAATACCTAAACTTTCGATACTTTAATTTTGTCCAATATTTCAGCGTGTGAAAACAAGGCATTAGAGACACATACACACACAATCAGTGGTAAATCTTCTTTAACATGTCATCTCCACTTTATAGCAAGAGGAAAAACTGCTTTTCCTTAAAAAGGTTACCGAGCTCATGGTTTCCTTTTTTCTCCTTGCAAAGGGCTAAAACATGAACATCAGGAACAGATCCTATTCACAGAATCGAAATGTAAATTACTTACTAATGCTTTCTTAGTATCAAAAATTACACTAAGATATCTTCTTTGTCAAGTTCTGTTCATCTTTCAACTATACCCAATTGGCCCCATCACGCACCTTCCTGCCTGCTTAAACAAATGTATTTATGCATAAGTGTTTTTAATATTATTCTAGCTCTCACACAGCCACTGACAGAAACAAGAACTTATTCTTGAAAAAGGTTAAGGAAATAGGTAAACAAATCACTGGAAAATAGGTCTTTAAAACAAAATATAAGGCACAGGCTAATAAAATGGATAAATTTTGAGGGCACCTGCCCTATACCTTATCAACATAAAACTTCATCTAGACATAAAGTACTGGCAAGAAGCGGTCAGTAGGCAGAAACAAGCCCGACTCTCTCCTTTCCTAGGAATATAAATCCACTCAAGATATAAAGTGAATGGCAAAAGATCACAATGCCGATCATCCGAAGAAATCCCAGGCAAAAGTACGCCACAACTGTCCTGAACAAGTAGCCTCACAGTCCTGAGCTGAGTCACACTTCCCATACCTGTGCCCACTCCATCCGACCCCCCGCGGCCTAGCTAAACCAATAATCCGAAATTAAACTCAGAATCGTTCCTTACCGGGAGACTAAACTCTCCCTCCACCCCTCCCCCTTACAGATCCCTCCCTCCCCGAAACTGGGGCTACGGGCGGGGAGGGGAGTCGCCTCAGAAAAGCTCGTCTTGCTTCTGGCCGCTGCCGTCTCCACTGAGGACCCCAGCATTCGGGGCAGAGGCCGGGAACCAGGCCCAGGGGAGTGGCAGGCCCCGTCCTCACAGCCCCCCAAAAAACCGGCCCCAGGTGAGAAGACGGAAGATCACTTACTAGTGGGAGCTCTGCCAAAAGTTCCCTGCCATGGAACTCAGCTTGCCCGGATAAAAAAGCACCAGCCGGCGGAGCAGCCCACGGAGCGACCATAGACCCAGCCCGTCCGGTAACCGCGCTCCTCGATCAAATCAGCTCGGCTCGGCTCCGCTCCGCGGCGGCGGCGGCGAAAGGAAGAGGATGGCCCCCTAGTCTCCTTGACGCCGGCCGACAACACTCAACTGTGCAAACTCGTTCCTATCGACAAAAGTTCCGGCCCGCTGTAGCGGAGGGAGCCGGCAGGGAGGCGTTGACCTGTGGGCGCGCTGAGGTGGAAGGGAACTAGTGATCGCGAGAGCTCGCGGCTCCGCGGTTGGAAAGCTCTCTGGAGAGCGTCTTGCCGGTTCTGGCCTAAGGCCCAAGCCACTCGATCTTCTGTCCTCAGTACGGGAGTTGTTGAGTGGGTCTAACGTGGAGGAAGCAGCTTAGTTCGGGGGTTGTGTTATTACCTCTTCCAGTGCTTCAAAAACAGGACAATGGCATTATAATAAAGTATAAGATTTTGTGACTTTTTTTTCCTGTGATTGGAAAAAGGAATAAATGAAGATGACTTTGTTCTCGCTGATCAAGTGTCCTTTTTTAATGTTTACTTTACTTTTTTTTTTCTTTTTTGAGACGGAGTCTTGCTCTTGTAGCCCAGGCTGGAGTGCAATGGCATGATTTCGGCTCACTGCACCCTCTGCCTCTGGGGTTTAATCGATTCTCCTGCCTCAACCTCCCGAGTAGCTAGGATTACGGAAGCCCACCACCACGCCAGGCTAATTTTTGTATTTTTAGTGAAGACGGGGTTTCGCCATGTTGGCCAGGCTGGTCTCGAACTCCTGACCTCGAGATCCGCCCGCCTCGGCCTCCCAAAGTATTGGGATTACAGGCGTCAGCCACCACGCCCGGCCTGTTTTTTACCTTTGAGACAGTATGGCTCTGTCACCCAGGCTGTAGTGCAGTGGCACAATCTCAGCTCACAGCAACATCCACTTTCCGGGTTCAAGTGATTCATTCTGCTACCTCAGCCTCCCAAGTAGTTGGGATTACTGGCCCCCCAGCCACGCCCGCCTAATCTTTGTATTTTTAGTAGAATGGGGATTTCGCCAGGCTGGTCTGAAACTTCTGACCTCAGGTGATTCCGCCCTCCTCGGCCTCCCAAAACGCTGGGATTAACAGGCGTGAGCTACCAGGCCCGGCCTGGATCAAGCAATCTTAATGGAGTTCTTTTGGAGATATAAAGTGCAAATTTAGTGAGCAGCAGAACCACCAGTTTTGCAGAACATCTAAAAGCAGTCATGCATATATGTATGCACATGTATGTGCATGTATGCATCAAACAGGAACATACTGCAAAAATGTCATAATTTAATTTTACAAGATTAATGTATTTTCCGTTTCATTTTCATTGTACCAATGCATTTGTTGTAAAACTTCTTTTTTCTAAATAATTGGACACTCCAGAAACTTGTTTTTGTTTTTTTTTTTGAGACGGAGTTTTGCTCTTGTTACCCAGGCTGGAGTGCAATGGTGCGATCTCGGCTCACCGCAACCTCTGCCTCCTGGGTTCAGGCAATTCTCCTGCCTCAGCCTCCTGAGTAGCTGGGATTACAGGCACGCGCCACCAGGCGCAGCTAATGTTTTTGTATTTTTAGTAGAGACGGGGTTTCACCATGTTGACCATGATGGTCTCCATCTCTTGACTTCGTGATCCACCCGCCTCAGCCTCCCAAAGTGCTGGGATTACAGGCGTGAGCCACCAGGCCGGGCCAGAAACTTGTTTATAGATGATCAGCATCTGAGGCAACTAAAGACAGTAAATTTGTCACATTGTGGGTGGAGACCAATTAGGGTGTGGTAAAGTTAAGTATAATCGTTTTCCTAAATGAACAGAAAATACTAGGTAAATCTGAAATAGCAAGGATGTTATATTTAAATTTGGTTCAGTTACATATGTGTGCAAACACATATATATATACATACATAGTCAAGACGTGAAATGCATTTATTTGTATGTGAGAATTAGTCTACACCAGGCCCAGTGGCTCACGCCTGTAATCCCAGCATTTTGGGATGCTGAGGTGGGCAGATCACTTGAGGTCCAGGAGTTCGAGAACAGCCTGGCCAACATGGTGAAACTCCATCTCTATTAAAAATATAAAAAGTTAGCTGGCCATGGTGGTGTGTGCCTATAGTCCCAGCTACTTGGGAGGCTGAGGCACAAGCATCACTTGAACCCAGGAGGCGGAGGTTGCGGTGAGCAGAGATTGTGCCACTGCACTCCAACCTGGAGTGAAACTCCAAATCAAAAAAAAAGGAAAAAGAAAAAAGAATGAATTATTCTGGATAAGTTACACTAGGTGAAATTGTGGTAACACCTCCCTACCCCCACCCCAATCACCATAGCTTAATATAAAATTATTTTACATGTCATATGTCTCTCCCATAAAGTCCCATAAAGTCTGCTTGCTTTTCTTGGTGGTTGTCTTCCAGATCTTCAAGAATCTAATACATATCTTTCAATTACTCCATCTTGATGGTCTTTGCTTCTAGGCTTAAAATCTTTCTAGAGAAAGCACAGAGGACTCACACTAGCTTTTACGCAGTGTTAAGGGCTTTGAAACAGAAACAACCCAGTCACCTTCTCTCATGGGCATTGACCAGAATAGACACATGCCTCCAATTTAACTGTGAAGAAAGCTGAAAAATGTAGAGGAGTGTGTAGCATACTTGATGAACACTTTGCATTACAGATCACAATAAAAATATTTAAAAGGCACTACCTTAAGAAACTCCAAGCAATGGGCTGTTTCACAGACTGAGGATTTCTTCAGTTCTCTCAGTGTTTGTTTTGTTTTTGTCAGCCTGGCATCATCCAGAAGATAAGGATACTGCAACTAATTAGTATTACTAATGTTTTATTCTAAGCTATCCTATTACACTTTGTTTCTATCACTGGACTCGCACTGAATTTCTTTTTTTTTTTTTTTTTTTTTGAGACAGAGTCTCGCTGTGTCGCCCAAGCTGTAGCGCAGTGGTGCAATTTTGGCTTACTGCAACCTCTGCCTCCCATGTTCAAGCAATTCTCCTGCCTTAGTTTCCCAAGTAGTGGGATTACAGATGCCCACCACCACGCCCACCTAATTTTTTTTTGTATTTTTAGCAGAGATGGGATTTCACCATGTTGATCAGGTTGGTCTTGAACATCTGACCTCAGGTAATCTACCCACCTTGGCCTCCCAAAGTGCTAGGATTACAGGTGTAAGTCACCCGCCCTGCTACTTTGTTTTATACCTAATTCTGCACTCTTCTTCCTACAAAATAGTGAGCCCCTTCATCTTTGTATCTCCATTAGTTCAGGGTATAATGTGTAGTAGGCATAGCAAATAATGGTGTTTAAATCTCTTATAGAATTGGGGGTATGTGCTTTGATATAAGTTATGAATACAAAATTGTGTTGAAAAGTGAATACTATGTATAGAATACCAAAAGAGCCACAACAACTTACTAGAGCTGTGGAAATTCAGGCCCCTTCCGTCTGTGAACAATTTTAAGCAATTTACCTTATGTGCTACAAAGAGCCTCTTCCTGTTTGTGACCTGGTTTCTGCTGCCACCAAATGCCCAGCAGCTCCCAGTGCTCATGGGGGCTGTGCAAGTCACAGGCCTGGAGCTCAGGCTTCCTTAGTTTCAGAGTAAATTGCTTTTGAGGACATTTTATAAATGTAGTTTGAATTAAATTGACTTAAACCAAAAGCTAACTTCATTTAAGTATATCTCTAGTGGAATACGGAAATGTACAAATCTGTTAAAATGCATAGACATCCCAGCTTACCTGAATGCAAAAAGATGCTGAGCTGTCTAGCAGATTTGTCTTTTTTTGCTGATGATTTTTTAAACTTTTCAAAATAATGTTGGGAGTATTGTTTTTCAGTCCTCATTACCCACTAATTTAAACTTGATGAAATAAATTAATGTTGTCCCTTCCAGTTTTCAACTTACCTTGTGCTTTTCAAACAGGGGTGTGTTCAATAAATTCTTTTTAAATTTTTTTTTATTTTTGTGGCTACATAGTAGGTATACATATTTTATGGGGTACATGAGATATTTTGATACAGGCATGCAATGAGTAATAATTACATCAGAGTAAATGGGTATCCATCATCTCAGGCATTTATTCTTTGTGTTACAAACAACCCAATTACACTCTTTTAGTTATTTTTAAATGTCAATAAATTCTTGATGCTAGTATTTACTCTCCTGTGACAAGAAAGTATTTATCCTTTTTCTTCTTACAGTGTTTTCTCCAGCAGAATGAATACTATTTCTAGGAAACTAGGACCTAGAAGCTTAGTGGCTTTACCAAGCTCACTTAGTTAAGTAGTGGAAAGAGCAATTAAAGTCGGATTCTTTTGATTCACAGTGCAATAACTTTTTTACCCAACTAGACAGCTTCAAGAAAACTACTATGACTAAACTACTATAAGCGCATTATTCCAAGTTTGTAGCACAAATTTTTCTTCTCAAACACAATTATTGGCGATAGCCTCTCATTTTAATTAAATTATTATCATAATTATTTTGCTTTGGTATTAATAGTCCTTATTGTGAAAAACATCCTCTTTATTTAGTCATCCGCTGTACTTCCCTTTTTTTTTTTTTTTTTTTTTTTTTTTTTGAGACGGAGTTTCGCTCTTGTTACCCAGGCTGGAGTGCAATGGCGCTATCTCGGCTCACCGCAACCTCCGCCTCCTGGGTTAAGGCAATTCTCCTGCCTCAGCCTCCTGAGTAGCTGGGATTACAGGCACGCACCACCATGCCCAGCTGATTTTTTGTATTTTTAGTAGAGACGGGGTTTCACCATGTTGGCCAGGATGGTCTCGATCTCTTGACCTCGTGATCCACCCGCCTCGGCCTCCCAAAGTGCTGGGATTACACGCGTGAGCCACCGCTCCCGGCCTTGTACTTCCCTTTATTTTAGTTCTGGGATACCTGTATTTGTTAAAGATGAACACACTTCTAAATTATGGAAAAGTGTCTTTGTTTTGTGCTATAAGAGAATAGTACAGACTATTACTAATTTACAATTGTCAACCTAGATAACAAACAGAGAGAGGCTCTCTAAAAGAAAATGATCTTTATTCAGGGATAGAGCTTTGGAATAGGAGTATGTGCACCCTTAGTAAACTACATGGCATTTAGGGAGGTAAAGAAACACAAAGGTTTTTAAAGGAAAAATGAGAAGGATTACATAATTGTTTTGAAATAATTTAGCCATGGCTATAAGGTTCAGTTACAAAGGTGACACCAGTCCAAGGTTAGATAGGCAGTTGCTGGGCAGATATCCTCGCAGAAATACTGTTTCGTGTGCAAGGTTGCTGCAGTATTTGTGCAATGTTATGGTTTTTGCAGCATCTTTTGTGATTGCTTTCATTACCAGGCATTTATTTGTGAGAACCCTTCCTTCATGGTCCTTTTTGGCTCTATTTTTTATTTTTATTTTTTAACCCAAGTGACTCCATTTTGATCCTGACAACTTTCATATAATGAACAGAAATTTATTAGGTCATGGGTTCTTGATGCT